GGACGTTTCTGAACAATGGAAACTGACTGCTGGAAAAGGCGTTTACGTTTAGAAGCATTTTTTAAAGATAACCACAGGAGAACCTCCCAAATGCCCAGAATGCACTGAAAAGTGGTAAATTATTAACTATTTCAGACTGTTTCAGAGAAATACAGAGAGTAGAAGCAGAGACAGCAGTATGTGTTGAGATAATTAGGTGTGAGTTGCTCATTAACATTTCTTTTGTTTCCAAGGGTGGGAAAGGTGTCTGGTGGAGGGAGTCATTAAGGCCACCTGGCAGGGGGTCACCATGAGGAATTTGAGGTGTGAATGATCATTAACATATCTTTTGTTTCCAAGGGTGGGAGAGGTCTGAGGTGTGAATTGGTTATTACAATGTGTGAGAAACTTGGTGGGAACATCCTGTGTTAAGTGTTTTGTCCATCTGAGCACATTGAAAACTCTTTGCATGCATTTTTCATGATGAAAAAAGGCTCTGGACAGCATCGGGAACTGGAAGAATAAAAAAAAAAAATTTCAAAACACAAACGCCATATTTCAACGCATTTACAAGCATTTTGCATTTGAAATGCTGATAAAATCGACGAACTTGCGTTCAAAAAAACGACTGTAAACTCAACTGCCTGTAAATGAAGATGTGTACATGGACACATAGGAAAACATTAGGGTGAGTTCAGGGGCTGCTGAAAAAAAAACGCTGACAGCTCCTAAACGTGAGTTTAACAGCTGCAGTGTACATGAGCCCTAAAGCCTTTACAGCTCATCAGTTTAGAGTTAGCCAGGAGTTCTTCTGCTAGAATTATTGCTACCACTCCGACTTTTGCGGTGATACCTCACAAGTGTGGTGCAACCATTGTTTATATACACGTGCGCACCATGGGTGTGCGTGGGATAATAGGGGTTATGACAAAATGTTTTTTTAATACAAGAACATGTATATAACATGCAAAAAATCCACTAAATGCACCTATAATCTCATGGGAAGATTGTTGTTAAAATGAATGGTCTAGATGCTGATCTTGTAGATGGCTTGCTTCTTTTCCGAGAATGCTGAGATCAAAATACAAGCTTTTTATCTCTGGTGTGCTACTACTGAACTGCCCACTTTTCTAAAGGGATACTTTGGTATTAAAATGTTTCTTAATAAAATTGGTATTAATCAAATAGAAAAATGGCAGGCAAACCATTTCACTCAGCATTTACTTTTAGCAAGTCAAACATCTATGGAAGCTGGATATGATCTTCAAGAAAGTCTGCTAAACATCTTACAGTGCATACAGTGGAAAAGGATTTTATTTTTTACATGGACTAGATTTCAAAATAAATTGGTTGCAGACAGCGCTGTGCCTCCTGTTTTATGAATAACAGTACATTTTAGCTTTATCTTAGTTATATCTCCGATTCTACATACAATGCTAGTTTTCTACTCGTAAAGTTTTCTGCAAGGTTATATGACGCCTTTGAGTTACCATGACCGACAGTCTCAGTATGCCTACAGCACATACTAATCTACAGTGTGAGTGCACAGGTTATGGATTCTTTGTAGTGTTTTCTCTATGTTGCCTCTAGCACTGCATTGTTCTCACCATTGCTGAATCATTAGTAAATAGCAAGGGAGGCACCTACCTTGTACAGACACAGTTCAAAGGCAGTGCTTATGGTGTGGTATCAGTTGTGTATAGAATAAAATACTCCTCCATTTCACTATAGTTTCAGATGGATTTGCAAAATGGAAAGGGTCATTGCACCCAGAATTTATATTTCAGTTCTTGATTGACACCTGATATTAACACCATCTATTTTTGAAGTCTACTTCGGATTTCTTGCGTTTATTGTGTTTCCAGGTCTCCACATTCCAAGGTAGTCCCACTCTCCCTTTTATACACACACACACCTTTAAATTTAGAGCTCGATTGCTACAGAGACATGCTATACATCTTCTGGTGATGTACTGCAGGCTTTATAGACCCTGCCTTCTCTCTACTGCACCACCACAATAAACCAAAGCCAACTTATGTAGTGCACCCCTTATAGAGCTTCGGGTGAATTTAGTCCTATTTATCCCCTTAGAGTACACACAGCTAGGCACGCAGTATATTCTTCACTCTTCCACTGGTTCAGAAAACAGTCCAGGGGTTCTTTTTAGGGTTTATTTATTGGGAATTATGAACTTGGATAGGAAGCATGGGATACCCCCAAAAACTGTAGAACTGGATAACTTGGGGACTCTTAAATTTCCTGCTGAACTTCACAGACTGCTGGCAGCACTTCACAATCTGCTGAATGTCCCACAGGTTCTCTATGCTGACAGTGACCTGTGCTCCTTCCAAAGTTTAAAAACTACTCATAGTCACTAACTCCTGAGCAAAAGGCTTGCTTACTCACTCAGCCCCAGGATCATCAGTTGCATCCTGCCAATATCCACCAGGCTCTTCCTAGTGAGGGAGATGTAGACTTACACCACCATAGGACAACTGGACCCTTTCCTGTCAGCTTTCTCCTGGCTCTCTCCCGTGAGTTTCTCCAGAGCCAACTTGATCCCTGGACTAATCATAGCCGGGTCCTCAATGTCTTCACCAAAGCTTCAACATATCCTCCAGACGTGAGCTTGCAAATAGGCCCCCCAGCTAATCCTAGCTGGGATCCCAATGTCCTCACAAAAGCTACAATCTGTCCCCAAGACTTGAACTTGCAAATAGGCCCCCCAGTTAAGCCTAGTTGGAATCCTGAAGTTTTAGCAGAGGCTTCTCTAACATTCCTGTCCCAGGGGTCTCCTCCTGCAGGACTGGACCCAGGAGCACCCTGCTGCCCAGGCCTCAGACTATTTATGGGTTTTCTCTCCACATTCTGGGCACACCTCCCCATGGATTGGCTGGAATTCCATAAATATTCAGGCTGTCCACTCAGTTCTTGCTCCCAAAATGTTTTTAGAATCCTCTAAAAGACAGTAATAAGTAACAGAGCAGCAGCCTGTGAAACACTGAGCAGCCTAAACCAGTCGATTCCCCACTCTTCTGATTACACGGGAGTAAAGCTACATTTTCCTAGCAGCCTACTCTAAACTAGGAGGGTGCTACACTTATAAAGGTTAGGTCCTACCACATTTGATCAATGCAGCCAAAGACTGTATCCTAGAACTGTAAAAGCAACAACTCCAACCCACTTTCACTATGTGGCTTGCCAATGTGAATGACATTGGGCATATGGAAGGTATAATCTTCTCGGACAACAGTACACATAATAAATTTTGGTGGACGTGGTTCTGCTGGAATGTGCTAACCTCTATCCCTGAATATAAAGCACTGCTAAATACAGATTTTATGCAGCCCAAATAAAAACTTCCAGCAGTAAAATAAGGCACATATAGGGATGTGCAACAATTTCAGCAAAGTTTGAAACTTGTATTAAACGGAATGCTAAAGACATGCTGGTGGGAGAGCACGATAGGGAAATAACTCACAGTTCAATATAGTCAGAAGTGTAGGAGGAGAGGTGCCAACAGCATCTGTTTTTAGAGGATGAAGTATGTCCTGGTCGCTCCGGTCCAAAGTGGGAAGCTCTTTCCAGGATAAGGAGTCCCTAATCTATCCTTCCTTATCAGGAACCTTTCTCTACCACTAGTTTCTTTCCAAATACTAGCCACCTGCCCAAAGCGCGCCAAGCCCAGGGGCCAGGGACTTATATAGACCCTACTGACCCAATATGGCTGCCATGGGTCAAATGGGCGCAGTGTATCCAACCAGAATGCTCCTCCATTGACCCAAGAAACCACAGAAAAATTATGTTTCTCCTAGACTTCCTCTCCAGGCTGAGGTGTCACTCAATTGAGCATCACCTGCAGTGAAGAAAATAAACCTGCCCACAAGCAGAATCACTCGGCAGCTTAGGTAGGAGGGGAGTGGATCGTATCTTATATTCTTTTTGACTCTGTGAATGCAAAACCTGTCACTACCCCCCTTATCTTGCTCAGCACATAGTTTTTCCTGAACCCCCTAGACCTTTATACCACTTATTACCCTATGTCTTCCCCTAAAAAATAAAAGCTCATGCGCTGCTAACACAACATACTAAATATGCATATAGACAGTCTTGGGGCATCAACATAATGGAAGGCCCCTCTACTTCATTAGGTTCATTGAAAGCTTCTTATAGCCAAGTGACAATCAAGGAATCTATGTGGACATTCACAGAAGATAAACTTCTTTCATAACTCTGTGTCATGATTGTTTTGTAACCAGTGTACCGTATGTATCTTGCTAATAAATAAAGAATTTATAAATTTAGATCTTGCGCTTTTTCTTTAGATAACAAGATACTCCAGTAGGATGGGGAGGGCTTGCCTAGTTGCCAATCACCTATGCTGCATGTACAATTCATGATAAAGAGCACACTGACAGGAGGAGAGAGCAAACGGATAAACACATAGGTCTGCTGCAGTTCGTCCACTGTTCAGTCACAGTCTGGGGCAGGGAAATGACTGGGCTGTTTTCTTGCATTAGACAAAATTCAGGTCTCCAGCCTGGCTTTGCTGTTTGGCAGTGCTGTATAAAGCTGGCCATACACTAGCACAGCAGTCACTAAATGGCGGACCGCAGTCCAAAAATGGCGCCAGCAGCACTCTCTTCTAGACCGCCAGCACGCAATGACAGATTCGCCGCTCCTGTCTATCCTCAAGGTAGGGTGTAATCTCTACAGGGGCACTCTGATGGGCACATTTAATGTTAAAGGATCATGCTGATGGGCACATTTAATGTTAAGGTGCATTCTGATGGGCACAACATAGAACGTGCCCATCAGAGTGCCCCTTAATTTAAAATGTACCCATCAGAGTTCCCCTTAATATAAATGTGCCCATCTTATTGCCCCTTAATATAAATGTGCCTGACAGAATGCCCCTTAACATAAAATGTGCCCATCAGCATGTCCCTTATTTTATGTTAAGGGGCACTCTGATGGGCACATTACATGTTAAGGGGTACTCTGATGGGCCCATTTTATGTTAAGGGGGCACAAATGGGCACATACTGTGGAAAGGGGCACTTTTATGGGCACATGTGATGAAAAGGGGCAGTCTGATTGACACATGTGATGGAAAGAGGCCCTCTAATGTGGAATATGATGTAAAGGGGCAGTCTGATGGGGAAATATGATGGAAAGGGGTACTTTGAGTGTAAAGGGGCACTCTGATGGGAATACCTGATGTAAGGTGGCACTGTGATGGGGATACCTGATGTAAAGGGGCACTCTGATGGGGACAACTGATTTAAAGGAGCACTCTGATGTGCACACCTGATGTGATGGCATTACATGATGTAGTGTTGCACTCTGATGATGGCGACACCTAATGTAAGGGGGCACACTGATGGGCACACCCTGTTCGGACCTCGGCCAGAAGAAAATTTTAGCGACCTGGACCTCCTTGAATTTTAATTCAATACACCTGCACTAGTAGAATTAATTAAAATAAATTTCATTCTTTGAACGTTAGTTTGAATTTCAAATGGTTTGTAGGGTCAAATCAATGTTAGTTTTCAACTGTAGTGACAGAAGAATTCAAAGCAGAATGGAGAAGTTTTTGCAAACACACATAATTTGGTGAATGTGGTTTTCATTGGGAAAAATCATTCATACTGTAATGATCATGTTCTAAACACAAAAGAATCCTGTTTAATATGTCTGAGATTCCATTCAATTAGCAGATCTAGACAAAATTTTCAGGGCATTTAAACAAAATTAGCTGACAAGAGCAAATGCTCTGAAGAACAATTTTTCAGAATGTCTGCATTAATATTTGAGCTAAATTCTACTGGTGCATGGCCAGCTTAAATCTCAGGACTAGCTGAACAAAATGCAAATCTTTTGGCAGATAAAACAACTCCCACATATGTATTTCATGTGTGCCTTTAGATGTTTGCTTTGGGTTAAAAAAAACACTGCCTTCAAATAATCTGGTTATATTCACATGTTTTAAAGAATATGTAACTCCTCACCATATCTCCCTCTTCACATACAGATTGATAACAGAGCATTGGCTCCTGCCAATCAAATCCTGTGATGAAGGAGCAGAGATGGGGCTGAGCCAGAGTGTCTGTATTTATAGACGCAGACAGGGTTGCTCAGGATTAAACCTGCACAAGTGTCCCCATAGAAAACATTTTTTAAGGGGGCACTTGCCAAAGAGAAGAAGATAGGAGTGCCAACAGGGGACCCCAGAAGAGAAGGATTGGGGCTGCTCTGTGCAAAACCATTGCACAGAGCAGGTAAGTATAATATTTCATTTTAATTAAAATAAGCTAAAGCCTCAATATCATTTTAAAGCGGACCTTCACCTTACCAAGGCACTCTCCTTCTCTCCATCCCACCCCCCTTCGGAGCATAGATTTTTTTTTTTGTGTGCTTACATTTTTTTCTGGCTTTGAATACTTGGCCCACCACCCAAACCTTTGAAATTCACCTAGGCGAATACCTCGGTGCCCCAGGTGTCACCTCCCCAGGTGCTGATGTGCAGTCCCATTCAGTAAGGAGGAGGGGGCAGGCCTAGCGGGGCCTGCACCCATAAAATCCGGAAGCTGTCACAAGCAACATGGCGATACCAGATCCATGCAGCGGCTGCAGAGAGTAGGATCCCAGCATCTTAAAGCTGGATCCACTGGCTAGGTGAGTAAGCTTACTGTGCAGAAGACAGGTAAGCGGGGGGAAAAAATGGGGGGGAGAGGAAAGGCTGAAGTTCCTCTTTAAGTGGTTTATCAACTACTATTAAGTATTAAGTACTGAAAGTAAAATAATTATTTTACGTTTTAATTAACTTTTTTTATTTTTACGGTAAATCTATGCATGATCAAGGTCTTTTTTTTTTACATTTTGAATAGAGTAGGAAAGGATTAAAACTCCAAAACCCTTCAGTTTTTTGGGGGTTTTTTTGCTGTCTGTGCTCCTTTGGGGAGATTTTCCTTTCACTCCTTGTCCCCGAGATGCAACAGGAAGTGAAAGGAAATCTTTACAAATTAACAAAAGTGTCACCAGAGCAGGTATCCCCGCTGAAAGATTTACAATTGCCTCCTTTTCTGATTACAGCTGATAAAAATGTTGGTCTCCCATCACTTTCTATCCCAGTGACAATGGTCAACTGAAAACAAAGAGTGAGTAAAGCAACCCACCAGGGCCACAGACAGCAATAAAAACCTAATATAGGTTCTAATCTTTTCATACTCTAAAACTAGAAAAAGGAAGTTTTGACTAGACATATGCTAAAGGAAACCTGTGCTTAAGACATACATAGTCTGGCATGATGATTGCAATTGTGGATGTGTGCTGGATTTTTCATCCGACAGAGAGCAGGAGTCAATCAGGATTTTTTGGTGGCTTAACCTCGGCAGCTCTACTATAATGCAGGGGCTCTTCCAAGGGACAATGGCCTCCCAAATTGGAAATCTAAATGAGATCAACAAAAGGAGTGCCAGACAATTGCCAAAAGTTTCGGAAGGAGGTTAGCCGTGGAAGACAACCTATCAGTCTTGGTGGGCTTCCTGTAAAAAAAGGTTTTCAAGTTTTCAGTGTGATGTAAATAATTTCATATTATTTATATGGTATATAAACAAGAAATTCATATATACATGTTTGTGTTTGTTTCAGCAAGTTTTAATGGATTTATCCTTAATTGTCCAACCCTGTCTACTTTCATGTCATTAATTGTATTGAATGCGATAGCTTGGACCTCTCTCGTATTCCATGGTCTACATTTCATGCTAACGAGATTAAGAGAGTGGCATCCAAAACACAGAAGAATTTCCTCAACTAGTTTTGATGTTGGCATTAGACATCTCAATAAAGAAGCTGCTTTTATCTGTACCTGTCTCTGATATCCATTACTTATGGGTGGATGCACATAGAAATGTTCGTCTCATAAAATGGCAGAATTCTGATGTAGATCATTACATTCTCTGATAAATGCTAACATCAAATACAGAATGCAGACACATATAAATAGTTATTCTGTTTGGCTTAGTCATTACTGAGTTTTGTATTTTCCTTAGGATCCTCCTTTACAAAGTGAATACCATCAAAATTCACTCTCCTAATGAGTCAACCTTCTCTAGTTTTTCTGAGATCTGGAGGTGTTTGTATTGCAGAAAATAAAATATCTTTCTATTTGCCTTGCATGACACATCCGTTGAAAACTTAAAAATAACTCTTCAGGATACTTCTTCATCCACAGTTATTAAAGTATTAACCTATTATTAAGAAGCAGTGAATGAGCTTTAAACAAACCCTTACTGACCTCTGTAGCTGCAGGCACTGGGGAGTAATCCATCCTTATAATTCACAGTAAAAAACACTGTCCTTCAAGTCTTTCCATTCTCCTGACTTCTGCTGTGTATTCAAATTAGAACTTGAAAGGCTGGAAGGATGCAGAGTCTGTGCTAGGACAGGAAGCAGTGTGAGCTGAACTGCTAAGTCACAAACATCTGCTCATCTGAGCCACTTTCTGACTAACAGGATGCCCCCTAATGCATTCCCCAAAACAAACAGCATATATAGCTTTTTAGCTTTCTGTCAGTAATCAGCCTTTCACCCAGCAGCAGGCTTTCACTGAAAGTGTTACTAAAACCAGGACCCTGCATTCACTATATCTGGTCTCTCACAGTACACACAACATGGAAATTATTTTAGCAATGATAAACTGCTAAATCCCTTTACTCATCAGCAGCATATAACAGTCTTGGGACTTTCATCAGTGCCCATCCCAGAACTGGTTAATCTTGCAGGAACAGTTTTCATTCTCCTTTGACTTTCCTATGATGCTGCATAACCCCTGGACAGTGCTGATTGGCCCTGTGCTGATGCATCCACGAAAGAAAACAAAAACTCACTAGCAATACACACCAAACTGAGCATGTGCAGAGTGCCTCCTAGACCTCTGTACTATCAGCAGATGGATTGGGGACAGTAGAAGGGGCAGATCAGAGAAGACAGGATCAAACAGCCTTTTTACACAATGCGGAAGGTTAACCCCTTAGGTTCAATAGTGAGTATAACAAGCATGCTTTACTGCATATACAGACTGATTTTATTGTTGTGGGTTTAGTAACACTTTAACAAAGAGACTGAGAAAGAGAGAGAGCCATTGAGTCTCAGTCAGCTCACATCTATAAAAGTCTGAGCACATCTGTCTAATTAGTGAGGTCTGGCTATTAGGTAAAATGTAGACCTAGGATTGCAGGCTTTTTACCACCCCAAGCCCCACAATGTCTCCAGCCCCAGAATAGAACTTTTTAAGATCTGAGAAAACAAAAAGTGTTGTTTTACAGAAAGAGTATTTGATTCTTGGAAAAGACTTCCAGCAGATGTAGTGAGTCAGTCAACAGTAAGTAGATTCAAACATGCTTGACAAACATGAATTTGTACTCAGCCAAAAAGGGAATAAATAAAAAGAAAATAAATACAACCAGCCAGACTTGATGGACCACTTGTTTTCTATCTGCTGTCACTCATCTTTGTTTCTAAAATGTGTGTATAGATTCTTAATTTAGCCTTCGGTCACACCGAATCCGACTGAAATTGTGCGACTTCACTTGAAGTCCTACGATTTCAAAGTCGGATCTCAGTGCGACTTCAGGTGCCACTTGCAAGACATCTGTGCGACTTCATGCACATATGTTGCACCTGCACTTGCAAAAAGTAGTAAATGTACTACTTTCAAAATCAGTGCGACTTCGACGAACTCGGAATCACAACGATATGACAGCTTCAATAGGGTGTGACTTGTCATGCGTTTGGAAAATATCAAATCGCATGACAAGTTAACATTTGACAATTTTATGGAATTAAAATTTCTGAATGATTTTGTATCATATTTTGGAGGCAACTGTGGCTCAGGGAAACTAAGTTTAAAGTGTTACTAAACCCAGAACAGTAAAATCAGTCTGTATATGCAGTAAAGTATGCTTGTTATACTCACTGTGGAACCTAAGGGGTTAATCCTTTGCATTGTGTAAAAAGGCCATTTGATCCTCCTCTTCTTCAAATGTCCACCTGATAAGAGACTGAACCCGTAGCCACATGCACATGCTCAGTTTAGTGTGTATTGCTAGAGAGGGTTTTTTTTTCTTGGGAGAGTGCATGTGATCAGGACAAGGCCAATCAGCACTGTCCAGACAGAGGGTCAAGGGTTCATCCTCTTAGAGCAGAAATAGAACTCCTCCAACAAGCTTTAACCAGTGCTCTGCTGGACACTGATAGAAGTCACAACACTGCTCTAACTGCTGATGAGAAAAGGTATTTAGCAGTTTATATTATATGTATTCTCCACTGCAGGTGGCACTTGACTGCAGCGTCAATGCAGATAGGGAAGGAAGTTGGGA